TCTTTGATCAATATGTATATATATTACATGTTAGTTAAAAGGTTGTGAAGTTATCAATGTGAGGAAATAATTTTCTCTTAGTAACCACCAAGGTCTCTTGATAGCAACAGTGTTATTTTGGGCAGCTTATGTATATAAAAACTCTAACTCGGTAGCCTGCAAAGCATTCTATATGAATGATTTGGCTGGGAAAATACATAAAAGGAACTTTAAGAGTCATTTAAGAATATTTCCGCAACAAAATTATTCAGGAAACACATTTCTATTGCTTCTCATTTCTCAGTACTTGATGCGTCAGAGTGTATATGGTGGTCCAATCTTGTATTATTAAGTGTATTTATCATCCCGAACCATATAGTTGTTAATAAACCAGAATAAACTAACTGCAGATTCTGCATAATGTCAACTTCCTGGTCTTTGTTACTTTAGATTTCACAGCAAACGTAATTGGCCAGGTGCTGTCTCCAGTGAAGTTTAGTAAAGTGGCCAAAAAGTAACTTCCTGTGGTGCGACAATGAAGATGAAAAGTGATTATACAAAGCAGTGGTGGAGATCATATTATGATGAATGATAAAAACAAATCTAGTTTTGGCTTCGATACAACAGCAGATAGTCGGCAGGTTTCCTTATGCAATTAATCTCAATAATGTTTGGCTATGCAGTTAGTATACTAACATGGAAAAGAAACCATTCTGCCTACACACAAGCATTGATCATAATGTTGACTACTTGCTTTGTTACTGACACCATATATCTTTTTTTAAGATATATGGACTCTTTTCTAATCATGATTAAGATGGTATTGATATAGATGAGGATCTGTTAACTAAGATACAGAAAAAAATACTTTATTACCTTTGTAGTGGCCTTTTTTATTGAACTTCTGTTTAGTTTATTCAAAATTATGAATCTCTTGTACAAAAATGACAACCAAATGAAAAGCTCCTGTTTTTTTTGTCATGCATACCTTCAAGCAACAAATGCAAAAACAAAACCCAAAGAAGTTTTTTAAGGTGTGTCGGCCAACAAAAAGAATGGATGAATTCTTCTTTAAAATGCTAATCGATTAGTTTCCCCCTAATTTGTTGCATGAAAGCATTCCAAAAAGATATCGTTTCACACCATAATTCACTCCTTTTGAATAATTACACGCTTTGCCAAGCAGTTTTCAGGTGACATTTTGGATCAACAAAAAATCTTTATTGTCAATGTGATGTTCCACATTTTTTATTGGCTATTTTAATTGGCTTTTAGGTTAATCGTAGTCAACAGAGGAGGGTGGGTCAACCCAGTTCGGACATGAAAGGGGGTGTTTGGTGTGACAAAAAGTTTGGGAACTGCTGTCTTAAGCTTTTCTCAAGTCTATAGAACATATGTAAATTGGATGGTAAAACTCCCACAATCCCCTCTGCTCCTCTAAAAGGCTAAAGATCTGGTCCAATGTTCCACAATCTGGAATTGCCACAATGCTCCTCCCAAATATAAGTTTGACAAACGTTCTAGGTATCGCCAGTCATTTCCAGGCCAAACCAGCTAGTAATCAGAATGTTCTTTTTTATTTTTTACCCAACAGGTGCAGGATTAAAACGTCTGAGTCTGATATGAATTGCCCTCCCAATTTTTACAAATAAAGCATATAGGAAAGAGTGGTTCAATTTAGCCAATTTCTCAAAAAGCAAGGAGAAAGTTTGGTGGTTGGGCAGTGCAAACCAACATTACAATTTTGAAAACGCTTTTACTTTTAAGAAAGTGATTCACATTTAAGAAAACAAAATAACATTTTTGGAGACAAATTTACATTTCACAAAAACAAACTAACAAGACGTAAAACCCTTTTACGTTTGATCATATCAACCAGAAAGAGAATGTACTATGTTTGACACTGACCCGAGAAACAAAACCGAATAATCTAATCATATGTGTAACACAAAAAGCCAACTGATTACTGTTTATCTTTGATCACCATGAGGGCTACTGCAGTCACGTCCGGGTCATTGTCGAACTTTGTACATTCCCTTTCCGGTATGGCAGGTGCAGTGTTTGGGATTGCATTGGCATTTTGTCTTTCTTCCGGTTTATATTAACAATCCTCAGCTTTTTGAGATCTGAGTCTAAGAAATGTTTAATTTCTTTCAAAGATATTTCATTATTTCTCCTGACAGATCTGTAAATAAATTCTATCGAGATAAATCTTCTACACACTCACTCACCCGATAATAGTGATTATTTTCTTCATGTCCACAAACATCTACAAGATTTAAAATAATAATGATAATAATAATCAACCTCGCGGCACGGTGGTGTGGTGGTTAGCACTGTCGCCTCCCAGCAAGAGGGTTCTGGGTTCGAATCCCGGGGGAACCAGGGCCCTTCTGGGTGGAGTTTGCATGTTCTCCCTGTGTCTGCGTGGGTTCTCTCCGGGTTCTCCGGCTTCCTCCCACAGTCCAAAAAAAAAACCTGCATGTTAGGCTGATTGGAGATTGGGGAAATTGCCCTTAGGAGTGAATGTGAGTGTGAGTGGTTGTTTGTCCTTGTATGTCTCTGTGTTGCCCTGCGATGGACTGGCGGACTGTCCAGGGTGTACCCTGCCTCTCGCCCGTTGACCACTGGGATGGGCTCCAGTTCCCCCCGCGACCCCATGAGGGAATAAGCGGCATTGATAATGGATGGATGGATGGATGGATAATCAACTTCTTTGATCACAATTATAAAGACTCACTCTAGATTTTTTAAAAATTGCCAGATCTGTCACAAGGAATATATATGTTTAAGGAAAAATTCATCTTAATTATATTTTCAACTATTAAAAAGTATAAAAGTAGTGTTGACTGAATTTATGCAATCTAAAAAGTTTAAAGTGCAATTTGTTGATGTTTCAACTGAAAAAACAATAATCCTATTCACCTCTATGTGCGACTTGTATTTGATATTTTCATAACAGTCTTACCAACAAAATTTTGATTTTTTCAAATGCGACCCAGCGCACTTGGATATATGGTCCAAAATCCAATACATGTCAAATCTTTTAATGACCTGTGTCTGTATTTTGAGGGGGATAACTTTATCTAGACCAACTCAAGGGGTCTTATAGGAACGGGACAATTTTTGTTAGCATTTTCCAAAATATGGCCAACATTCTTGGTTCCGATGCCAAAGAAAAATAAGAGGACGGTGAACTCTGAGCATGCTCACTACGAGTGACGTTATGTATCCTCTACTCCACATTAACAATTTTAAGTTCTTTTGCAGTTCACACTGGATATCACATACAAGTTTAATTTATTTAGCTTTTGAAACCACGTTTAGGTTCTGAACAGATCCCATTTGTATGTAAAGTCCCCAACTCCCCTTAGCTTGTGAGAATAATTTCCGGGAGTTGTTATTGCACAGGTGTCCAGCTTCGCCATTTTATGTTTCTGGAATCATAAACCATATTTTTTCAGAATTTTTTCTAGTGATCCAGGTTTTCTATTTTTCTGATCTTATTGAAGTTGATTTTATGCTTTTGGGTTTATTAAAGTTAAATGTAAAAAAAACAGCAAATAAATACAAAATAATAAGACGCTATGCAAGGGGAAACAAAATAATTATCTCAATACTTTTTTTTAGTGACCTGTAAATTTGTTTTGTGTCACAGCCACTCAATTTATAAAATACAGCTTAAGTTGGGCACATGTCTGTCATATATGTATATGTAGTTATTAGATTACTCTGCAGTCCTTGCTTTACTCTTCAATATACCTGCAGTATTACAAAATATAAACATATGATTGGAAAATGAAACGACAATTGTAAATTGTAAAATTGCATTGGCAATTAGTTTTTTTTAATCAACAACCCACAGTTGATGTCTCTCTTGGTGACACTGACCTCAGATAAAAAGCTAAGTTACACCAAGATGTGGTCATACTACAAATGTAAAATAAATTACCGAGGTTAATCCAAACCTTTTGGATTTAGTAGTGGCAAGTGCTTATCATCAGTAATTCTAATTTGACTGTGTTTTTGCAAAGCTTCCCGATCTAACGTCGTTTCCCAACACAAACATCAACCGATTCTCCTGTGAAGCGTGTGCATGAGTGGAATCACAATCAAGCCGTCACTGCCTTGAGGGCAGTTGTACTGGTAATTGTGAGAGGATGACAACAGGTTGGCCGGCATTAAGTCTCATCTTCCTTTGGCTGAGTTCAGCACCTGCCTGTTGGCCAATGGCGGGATGTTTTTCTGACAGCCACAGCGGGAATGATTGATGCCCGAAGGCGTCTGATGGCGTGTTTCTCATTGCCAAGCTGCTAACTCCATCCAGAACTCTCTCATGGAACTCATTTAGACCACACCTGTCCTACCGACACACACATTCTGTCTAAATGAACAGGTATCCTGTGGTACTGATAAATTACAGGAAATCATAATCACCTTTGGGGGAATTTTTGATGCAATGTAAAATAAAAAAGAATCTGCAAATCCTGGATTTTTAGCTGATAGGGCAAAATCTTTTCAACTCACAAAAACATTTGTTTTGTAAAACAAGTAAAGCTGACTTCCCTTTTGTAATTTTATATGTGGATCTCAGGTTTATTATTTTCTTACAACATGGCATTGTTAATCTTAGAATTAAAATTTTGACCTCAATGCACCACATAATACCAAAGTCTTTTTCTTTTTTTTGCTACACGAGTGTGTGTTTTAAGCACACACACGTCTCTCTTTAGCTCCAAAGAATTTTAAACCTCCAAATGTCCTGATACTACTACATTTTTCATAGGCATTTTAAGCAAAGAGTTGCGAGGCTTTAGTATTCAGCTGTCATTAATTCCTCTGAGATAGAGTTTAATGTTCTCCCTGAAAAACACTTTAGTAAAAAGTATTGCTAAAGATACCAAATTCCAAACCAAACTCGCACATGATTGAATGAAAGTTGAACATTATTGTCTGTAATATCCGGTAATTGTCCAGCATTGTCAGGTTGATGCAAACTGTAATGTTATACGTGAATTGTAAGTTGCTTTAAAAAAAAGCGTTTGCTGAATGCATAAACAGTAAACAGTGATCAATTTAATAAAACCTTTTCTTCTTTTTACAAGTAATAAGCTCATTTGATCCACCACAGAAGCTGACCAATTGTTTTCGATATTAGTGGACACTAGTGGGCAAATGACTGTGATGGGATAAAATGTATAAATAATACATCCAGGTAAGAAACGACGCAAGAAAGCAGTGCACGTTAGTGCCAATTGTGGAAAAGCATGACATTTAATGGTTTGTTTGTCTTCAGACTACCTGAGGACACAATTGACCACACGACACATCTTTTTTTTTTGCATTGCATCAGATCAAAATATAAATTAACTGGCATTATCTCTAATTGTGTTGGGCGGTCGTGATTGTGTCAGGGGACGAAATCTACGTTGTTTTTTTAGATTAACTTCTTCATTTGGATGACTTTTATTCCGGCTAGCTTGGAGAACCACGGGTTGCGGTGTGTGTTGCGGTGCGACGCCGTTTGAAGGAAGCCTAACTTCTGGAACATGGAAATGGCCGCCGTCTGCGACGAGCCGACGTTGACGACCAGCTCGGCGAAGCCCCGCTCCTTGCAGAAATCCAAGGCCTTACGGGTCAATTGCGATCCTAGAGTTTTGCGGCGCCACGGAAAGACGACGACGACGTGAGACATCTCCCCGAAACCTCCGTCCCTCGAGTCCGGAGTCGCTTCGGTCCCGCTCACTCCTCCGTTCCATTCCTCAAACCTCTCGCCTTCTTCATCCCCCCCTCTCTTCCCGGTCACCGCCACTATCCCCACCAGCTTGGACTGGCCGTTGACGTCGGCCTCGGCCACCCAGAAACCGTTATCGGGGTTTTTCAGGTAGCTGGTTGGAATGTCGGCCATGTCCGCGCTCAACCTCCTCAACATGTAGCCCTCGTAGATGTCGTAGCAGCAATAATAAATCAGGCCGGCCCATAGGCTGCCGAAGAGCAACGCTTGGAAGTAGGAACTGCCTCCGAGTACGTAACCGGCCATACAGATGCTCAGAGCCACACCCACGTGGTCCGGATTGCTCATGGCCTGAAAGAAAGCTGGATACACGTGCTCAAAGATCCCATTCCGAAAGAGCGACATCACCACCGCTTGATCCGAGGGTTTGTATTCCCTGATGGAGAACTGAACTGCAGGTGAAAGAGGGAAAAGAAAGAAAGAAAGAAAGAAAGAGGGGGAGAGAACAAGAGCTCAGTGAGGCTAATCTGCTTGTTATTGCAATCAGAAATTCCACATGGATTTCACAAGAGGTTGAGTCACGTAACTTCTTAAGAAAGAATTAATGATCAATTCACTTCTCGCTGAATCTAACCCTTTCATTCGTAATTAAATTCTATTTCATATAAATATAAAAAAGCATTTGCTTTTATAGCATTCGCATATGACAACCCCGAAGGGGGAAAGTCACAATCCAAATTATTGTCCCATTGTTTCATTTTAAGATTGGAAGTGTGAATCATTGTGAGACAGGATACAATTACATCTTAAATGTGCTGAAAATGAAAATATTAGCAAAGTGAGAGCCTTAGGCAAGAAGGATAAGGTTTTTCATTCCACTGAAATGTGTTACAGGTCACACAGGCCCGTTAGAGTTGGCATTAATTAAAGCCCCTGCTGTCCTATTTGTAATCCTGTTCAAAATTAACTTGATTACTAAAAAAAAAAGTCACGATAATTAACAATATTGAAGTGCCAAACTTACGGTTATTTTTTTGCGACATGCCGACTCTCTCCTCTTGTACGTTTCTCAGAGTGAAAGGCTTAATGCTGCTGCTGGTTCTGGACTTAAGATAAAGTTTGCGATAATCAGCCATTCACAGAAAGGATTGAAATTAGTCTGAGCATGCTCAAGTTACACACCACCTACATGCCCTAAATGACCCTAAATCAAAACTACAGCCATCAAATTTACAGTTAAATTCAAATGGTAGGGATTTAGGGAAGTGTTCATTAAAGGGTTTCTTTAAGTTGTTCTTTTTTTAACTTAATTAACTTTGACAACAAATTAAATAACTATGTTATTGGGTTTTCTTATAGAATCATAGGACAGATTCTGAATAAATTGATCAAAATACTGAGTAGAATACGGATCCATTGTCAATTCAAGCGCTTCATTGATTTTTCCTGAGCAGAAATGTTCATAATAACCGCCTTTTCACAAAACGCATTTTGATGGTGTTCTCTCTGGATTGTTATATGGCTCTTCAGATTATTCCTCTGCTGTAGTAAAAGAGTAAGAGGAACATTAATAGTGTCTATCCGCCTGATAAAAGGGTCTCCTATAGCCTTGGCATCTTGTGCAATAATCCGGTGGCCCTTGGACATGATTACATTTTCCTGGATAGAAAAAGGGCCCTTACACCTGTTTAAATCGATGGTGCTGCCTCATGAATCTGTTAGAGATAGATGGTCAAGATACTCTGGGACTGTTTAAGCCATTTTCCAAGGATTGTGTGGATTGGATTCTCAGCGCTCAAGAGAAACCCACCATTATTGTAATTAAATTTGTGCAAATGTTTTTTTTATTTTCTCTCACAATATGTATTGTGAGGCCATTAAAACATTTAAATGAACATTGTATTATCTTGTATTTAATTCCTACAAAGCTCAGAAAAAAAATACTTTCAAATTCAGTATTTTAATTCAATATCAAGGGTCAATGGCATAATTCAAGGGCAGCTCAGAAAGGTACTGATTGGAGTACGGTCCTCTCAAGTGGAGTAACAGAGAGTGATTGTTATTTATTCTGCTTAAAGGTTAATGAGGTAGTGGCAGCCTTTTTAAGAAAAGTAAAACAAAAGGAAATACTTTGCCCTGAGCGCAGGGAACTGATTGAAGTAGGTGACCAAAATCCACTGAAGAAAAAAGCAAGCAAATTAAATTATTTCTAATGAACCAGCTTTTTATATGAGATGTTCTTTTAGATCCGTTTGTTTTATGCAGCCTTACTGAAAAACAAAATTAAGACCATATCTGTGTACACTAGGTTAAAAAAAAAGATAGCAGCGCACTCTGACACAGCCAAAAAAAGAATCCAATGATAAAATAATCAAGCACTGACTTTGCTGGAGGAAGAAAAAGATTTTCAGCGTTTTTTCAATAGTCCTCTTATATTTCTACTTCTCTTATCTCCGTTCCAATTTATTACTTGGTACTTTTCTGTTACATGTGAGTGAATAGGGATATATATTACAAATTGCCAAAACTGGGGAAAATGTACATAGTTATTATTAGTTTTTAGGCAACCTTGATATCACATAGAAGATGCCCAACGGAAGACATTTGGATATGTTAAAACTCATGATTTCTAAAAACTACTCTATGTTTAAGAAACAGACCCACTAAATATTTTTGTACTATCAATTCATATGACATAGTGGATAATGTGAACAAATAGTACATAAATGCATAAATGACACATTTTAGATAAAGAAATTATGATATTTTAAGAAACTAAGTTGATTTTAACCCTGTAATGCCAAACATATCATATTTGATACATAAGGTTTCTGAAATGTTTTGCGTCTGACACCTTTTGCATAATTTAATGGTAAAAACTTTGCTCAAAATCCTATTTTTCACAATCAGATACACCTGATAACAGGGGGCAGAAGACTACACAAAAATAATCTTGACCTATCCCAAAGTAATAAATTCTTAATATAAAAAATGTATTTTTGTTTTTTCTTTTTACATATTTTGTTAAAAGGCCAAATATAGACTTAAAACAACAAAAAAAAGTAAGTTTCTGTTTTGTTTTATTCTTGGATCGGGCTTTAAAGGGTTAAAGTTTAGCATTTAAACCTGTGCCTCCTGTAAGGTCATCACTCCATATCATACTGATGGAAAACATTTTCCAAACACAACACAAACATGTTAGATCAGTGTTGCCCTTTAATGTCTCTTGAATTGTACACAGACTGGAATGTCTTACAAGTGAACTATAGCACAAGATTAATTGAGCAAACTAGACCTCATGCAAACGCTTAACCACATAAGTTTGATAATCTCAAGTGCTACATCTGACAGCAGAGGTTGCCCCTGATGTGTTTATGATTTATTTTATTTGTAACAAAGGACTTGATGACACAAAGCCAAATACCAATGTCCTGTACTCTTTTTTTTAATATCGACGAGGTAGATTGATAATGTTTGGTTGAACAGATACTGCAGTTTTTAGGCCAAGTTTATCCACTCACTAGTTTGGCATAAAGAGCCCCTGTTTCAGAGAGCTTACAAAATTGTGATAACTTACAAACTGCATAATAAATTCAATCACATTCAAACATGCCACAGTAGAAGTAAAAAGGAGTTTTAAAAAAGGCTTGAAACTTAACACTAAAGAGAAACTATATTGAGCATATAAAGATCAAATTAAATTGCACATTTTTATTCATGAACAAGTTCTTATCAAAAAATATATAAGAGAAAGAACCTGTTCTGTATGCTTATCATAGATTGACGACATTGAGGGATGTTACTATTAGATTTTTGCTTCATATCTAGCAGCTGGCCATCGTTTTAACAAACTGAGCAAATAAATTCCCATGTCACTTCTTCTGCAGACAGTTTGAGTAGAGTCAGACTAACCTTGCGTGTCTTCATGATACACAAGTGAATAAAAAAGTATCCAACACTCTAAGGGGCAGCCAAGTTTACTTGCAGATGTCTTTTAATGTTTCATTTATATATTCCAGTAGTTTCATTAATTTAGTGTTTCATTAACCTAATGTGACTGGAACTGCACACAAACGGGGATACTTACACTGCCATCTGGTGGAATAAAGGGGGAAAAATGCATTATGAGTCATTTCAAGAAGCAGATGCGCTAAAAAAGTAATAAATGTTCAAAGATAATATCTAATTATCATATTTACTGTCTCCTCCTAAAACCAAATGGCTAGAAAAACTCAACTGCAAGCTGACCCAAGACTTGACTCTTAAAAGATTCATGTGTTTAATCTTGTAAAATACAGAATAGATGTTTGGGCATTTTTTACTTTTACTTTTTTTTTTACCTACTTTTTACTTTTAGGTTATTGAGCTAGTATCTTTTGAGGATGAGGCCAGTATCAGGATAGGTAAAAGCCTACCAAAAAAGCCTAAACTACCATTTTTTGTGTTTTCCCTCATTTGCCCTACCATCAGTTCAACATACTGTAAAGAAAATGATTTATTATTTGTTCTGTATAAGCCACCGACTGACTCGGTGAATGTTTTTCTACATATTGCTTTCTTTTTTTAAATATATATATATTTTTTAGAAGTAGGTCTTCCACAGGAGTCTATCTCTTTGATATGCTGGGAGGTTTGGCACCTAACAACAGTTGATTGTAAATTCTGGCTAAATTTAAACTAAAACTGTGAAGCTGTAACCAACAACTGTTTCAGAAGCCAAATTTGAACGTGCCTCATTGTACAGGTCCCCTCCAACACTTCCTTAATAATCTGTGGTGCCTTAATTGGTGCAGAAGCAATGTCTGAAACCTACTGCTGAGGTATGTTGAACTTTAACTGTTCAACAGCACAAACTGGATCTGTTTGATCTAATAGGTTTGATTTTTTTGTTAGAGAAGCAAATCTTTAATTGCTTCCTCATAAAATGTTGCATGTGCACTTTTAGAATATTATATTAAGAAGTAAAAACAGTGAAATGGAAAAAAGTGCTTTTATGTCTGACATCAGTTAAATGTAAGAAATGATTCCATCAACATGAAGAATTACCTGATTTTTAGTTGTATTTCATGGTTTACACGTCATATCATGTTATGGGAACACTACTCTGCAAAATACACCCTTGACATATCATGACACATCTTAAATCACGACTGTGGACTATGTCATTAGTATATTTATACATGTTATACAACATTTAATTTCTCAAATTGACAGAAATGTAGAAACTTTAAGAATTTAATTAGGAATCATCTGTGATACTCACCTTAAACCAATATATTATATCTAAGATTAGCAGGTTTCAAACATGAAACTAGAAGGAAGTTTATATAAAAGTGAATTTCTTTAAACAAAAGGCCAGCTTCGTAAGTAACAGTAAGTAATACGAAATGTTTTTAGTAAACATGGATTATGTCAAGCTTTCACTTGCATAATCATTTTATGTGTATTCCTAAAAGATTATTTATTATATCAAACTTTCAAATGTGTCAATTTGCTACACATTTCCTATATTTTGTTACCTAAGTTCCAAGAAATTAAAATCACTATTACTATTACTTTTGCCGGAATATGAACATTTCAGAATATATCTATTTTGCTATAAGTGACTGTAATGTATTGGTACCAAGAAACCTGGAAGCTCATCATGCTTTTATCATTTTATGCCCGTCTTTTTTGATGAAACATTATGAAAACCTGAAATGACAACATACCAGAAAGACGTTGAAAGCTTCTTTTTTCTAATGTTTCTCCATGATTATCTTATTTAATTTAATCTAAGGCACGGCACGGAAAGTGCTAAGACACTTCATTATCAGAATCATGGATCAGAAAAACATAATTCCCTTTGGATGTAACAGTTCACATCAATTTATGTTACACTGCAAAACAACAGATAGAGTCATAATGTGGAAAGGCTTGAGTTTATTCTGTCTAAACAATACACAAATGAATAATGATCTGTACTGGAAATATCGGTTTTCATTTACAGATCACACTTGCTTGTTTTTGTTTTTTTTCACTCTTACAACAATTAATATTCAATATTAAAATGCCTTTTAAAGTTAGTAGTTACAATAATAGTTCCATAAGACAGTATTTACTTTGTAAATCAAGACAGGTGGCCAGATGGATTGCA